GAGCGGGGTTTAAATGTAAATGTTTCTTCACTCACTCTGCACTCTCACACAAAAAATACAACACTGCACGTAGCTCCATTCACTCTAGTCTAGTCTCTTGCCAAGTTCGCTTGTGCCAGCTCTCGCTAGTCTATCTATTATCAATCTCGATATCATTTACTTATACTTCAAAACCCAAACAGTCTTTTTAAAGAGTAATCCCACAAACAGTCTTTTTAAAGATTATCCCCATCTCAGTTATTTTTATGTTTTTATGTTTATTTTTTAAACTGCTAGGCAGTACACTTAGCTAACTACCCCTCTGCCTTTTTCACCGTGTTGCAACACACACACACACACACACACACACACACACACACACACACACACACACTCAAAGGACTACAATCGTTAAGTCTTAAAATAAAATCTGCATTGCCTGTAAAATCGTTATTTTGTTTGTTATTAATTTTGTTTTGTTTGTATTAAAGATCGTGCCTAAGTCCCAACTGATCAGCCCCCGATACTAGTCTCTCAACATAGCCACACACACGCACACATCGTTACATCATAGCCTACACTTTATTGAAATCACAACTAATCCAAATCCAAATTATTTCAAAACCAACAAAGATGGAGAGATTTCTAGTGAGGACCAACAAGGCAACCGACGCACCACCAGCTGCAAAAAAGCTTCGAAGGTACGATGAAGCATACCTGCAGTTTGGGTTTACAGTCACGGCTGATCTGAGACCTCAGTGTGTCGTGTGTGCCGAGGTGCTGGCAAACGACAGCATGAAGCCCTGCAAACTAAAAAGGCACCTCGAAACAAAGCATGCTGGCATTAAGGACAACCCGGCTGAATATTTTTAAAAAAAGCTTGATGGCTTCCATCAGCAAAAGGCAACCATTTCAGCGCACAGCACTGTGTCTAAACAGTGTTTGGAGGCATCGTATGTAGTGGCCAAAAGAATAGCTAAACTGGGTAAACCGCATACAATTGCAGAGACTCTCATTTTGCCGGCCGCGCAAGACGTGCAGAATAATGATAGGAGATAGTGCAGCAGCCAAACTCGGTGCAGTACCACTGTCCAATGACACAGTCGCTAGGAGAATTTCAGACATGTCAAATGATATCAGAGAGCAACTGATTTCATTCATAAAAAAGAGTCCTTACTACGCGCTGCAGCTGGACGAATCCACTGATATTGCTGGGCAGGCACAGCTCCTCACCTATGTCAGGTATCTGCGGGACAAGGCGATTGAGGAGGATGTCCTGTTTTGCCGGCCTCTTCAGTCGCACACTACAGGAGAAGCCATATTCAATGTCCTTGATGTTTTTATCCATGAAAATGGTTTGGCTTGGGACCGATGCGTTGGCCTATGCACGGATGGTGCGCGGGCAATGACGGGCCGTGAGCGCGGCCTAGCTGCTCGCGTTCAGCAAGTAGCTCCACTTGTGAAATGGACACATTGCATGGTCCATCGCGAAGCACTAGCTGCTAAAAAAATGCTGGTTCTCTTTGACTCCGTGCTGAACCAATCCGTGAAAATGATAAATCTCATCAAATCACGGCCGCTAAACTCTCGCTTGTTTGGGGTCTTCTGCCAGGAGATGGGGTCAGGGCACGAACAGCTGCTTCTGCACACTGAAGTTCGCTGGCTCTCCAGGGGGCGGGTGTTACAGCGGTTGTATGAGCTGCGAGAGGAGGTGAAGTGGTTTTTGACAGAAATCAAATCAGATCTGACAAAGCATCTGGATGACACTATGTGGCTTGCGTCTCTGTCCTATCTGGTCGATATATTTGACCGCTTGAATGGCCTCAACCTGTCTTTGCAAGGCCGCGAAACTCATATTTTGCTCCTCGCAGACAGAGTGGACACCTTCACACAAAAACTTGACGTCTGGCATGGCCGCATCACTCGAGGGAACTGCGACATGTTCCCCAGCCTTGCAGACTTTATCACGGATGCAGGCACGTCACACGATTTCTCCTCTCTATTTCAATCAGCGTCTGAGCACCTGTCAGAAATGAGAAAACAATTTGCAATGTACTTTAAAGAGGATTATCGCTCTTTTGCGTGGGTTCGAGATCCATTTGTGTGCACAGCAAACGAGCTGTCAATTGATATGCAGGAACAGCTTATTGAGCCAAAGAGTGACAGTAGGCTGAAGGAACTCTTTACCTCCTGCCCTCTTTTGTCATTCCTGGCAGCACTGATGCAGGAATACCCTCAACTCTGTGACGTCGCCTTGAAGATTCTCCTCCCTTTCGCGTCGACATATTTGTGTGAGGCAGGATTCTCAAAAATGACTGCACTCAAAACAAAGTACCGCAATCGTGCACAAATCGAGGATGATTTGAGGCTATGTTTATCAGACATTGCTCCAAGAATTGAGGATCTTTGCAAGGCAAAGCAGGCTCAGGTCTCACATTAACATCGCCTACCTGCAAGCTTCTGTCAAAAATGCAGATGATAGGCCTATTATTAGGCCTAGTAATAATAACACTAATAAAGCATAAATTCATATCAGAGGTCTGGTGCCAATTCCCAATTATAGCAATAGCCTAGTAATGATAATAGGCCTACTACTACTACTCATAATAATAATAATAATAATAATAATAATAATAAAGCATGTAACCTCATATAATTATATAGCAATAGCCTAGTAATGATAATAGGCCTACTTATGATAATAATAATAATAATAATAATAATAACAACAATAAAGCATGTAACCTCAAATAATTGTATAGCAATAGCCTAGTAATGATAATAGGCCTACTACTACTACTACTACTACTAATAATAATAATAATAATAATAATAATTAAAGCTGCAAGCAGCGTTGAGCGGGACCTCGCACCCCACCCAACTCGGGCGTGCTGCGGCCGCGTCACGTGCCGTCGTTACACGTGCGGACCAAAGCGTGAAATGTCACGTAAATCAGCTCAAAATCGCCACACAGCGCTTACTTTCTGTTGCCGGTAGGTGGCGCTATCACTATGTCTTAATATTGTCATGTAGACAAGTTCAGGGCGGGACTGTTGTAACACACCTTAAGTTTCATTGAGATTGGACCACGTACGCTGAAGTTACGAGGCCGTGTTACGGGCGAGACTGTTACAGAATATATGAAGTTTACTGGAGATTGCACAATGCACACTGAAGTTATGAGTGCTATTTCATGGCGGATCCACTGAATTCGACAAGTCGTCACCGGCGCGGTCCTTTCACGTAACGCAGCTGAAAATCGTAACGCAGCTCAAAATCGCCACACAGCGCTTACTTCTTATTGCCAGTAGGTGGCGCTATCACTATGTCTGAATATTGTCATGTAGACGTGTTCAGGGTGGGACTGTTATCAAACACGTGAAGTTTCATTTAGATTGGATCATGAACGCTGAAGTTACGAGGACGTGTTCAGGGTGGGACTGTACACTGAAGTTGAGTACTATCTGTTTATGGTGAATGGTCGAAATTCAACGCAACGCCACGGGTACGCCGTTTGACGGAATGTCGTAAATAGCACAACTTTTAATCATGAATGTCTTTAGATTGCGCTGATTAAATTGGAAGTTGATCCGATAAATTCCCTAGGAGGAGTTCGTTCAAATACAAGGCAAAAAATCACAGAAAATGAGCACGGAATGCAAAATGGCTGACTTTGATGCCAAGCCACGGACACGCCGTTTGACGGAATGTCGTAAATAGCACAACTTTTAATCATGAATGTCTTTAGATTGCGCTGAAAAAATTTGAAGAAGATCCGATAAATTCCCTAGGAGGAGTTCGTTCAAATACAACGCGAAAAATCACAGAAAATGACCAAAAAAATCTAAATGGCTGACTTTGATGCCACGCCACGGACACGCCCTTCAACGTACATGCACAAATAGCACAACTTTAAATCAGGACCATTTTTTGAGTGTACTCACAAATTTTGAAGCATATCCGATAAATTCCCTAGGAGGAGTTCGTTCAAATACAACGCGAAAAGTTCGCCGAAATCGAAACTTTAAATCAAAATGGCCGACTTCCTGTGGGGTTTCGGGTATGGGTCCAAGAGGCTTCTTTGTACATCTCAGCATGTTAAACATGCCTACCAAGTTTCGTACATATCGGTGAAACGTGGCGCCGGGGCTGCTGTTTCTTTATCCTGTAGGGGGCGCTACACACACGACAAACACGATTTTTGGTATGTGAGCTTCAGGCACTACTCTACACGTGCCCTGTGAATTTCATATTCATAACTATTACGGTCTCCGCACAGTGATTTATCCTGCCACCAGAGCGCCACCCAGTGGCCTGATTTTTTTTCCTTTTTTGGTGAGCCTCAGGGAGCCATGGGCAAGCATCCTACCAAGTTTCATTTTAATCACACGTGCCGTTGCAGAGATATAAACTCCTTCATTTTAAAGAGCGCCACCTAGTGGTAATGGTCTGAAATTGTGCACGGTGCCTAAGGAGGACATGAGGAACTATGGACCCAAGTTTGATGTGAATCGAACATACCAATGTTAAGAAATGGTCCTCTTCCTTTTTTGACGAAAAATCTACAGGAAGTCTTAATTTTATAGCGCGCTTATTTTTTGAAATTTCAAAAAGGTTCAAATTACTTTTTTTGCCAGGGCGGTCCCCAAGTGCTAGGTGAAAAATTTCGTGTGAATCGGCCAAAGTGTGTAGGAGGACCACGAAAAGGTACTTTAAGGACATTTAGCGCTCTAACAAAAAAAAATTATAGGCGGAAGTGGGCGGGGCCTATATGGAGAGATTCAGCATCATTCACCGAACGCGTGGATATAAGTTTTTTGAATGTGCGACAAAATATACAAAAGTTATTAAGTAACAAGAAACTGAAAATTCTTTTCTCAATAGTAGCGCCACCTAGTGGCAGACCCGAAAGTGACACATGTAAACTCCGCATTTTCACCAGGCCTGACCACTTTGCCAAATAAAATTGACTTTTCGTATATGTTCAGGGGGGCAAAAATGCAGTCAAAGGGTCCTAAAAAGAATTAAAGCTGCAAGCAGCGTTGAGCGGGACCTCGCACTCCACCCAACTCGGGGCGTGCTGCGGCCGCGTCGCGTGCCGTCGTAACACGTGGGGACCACAACATGAAAATGTCACGTAAATCAGCTCAAAATCGCCACGCAGCGCTTACCACCTGTTGCCAGAAGGTGGCGCTATCACTATGTCTGAATGTTGTCATGTAGACATGTTCAAGGCGAGATTGTTATCAAACACGTGAAGTTTCATTGAGATTGGACCATGTACGCTGAAGTTATGAGGACGTGTTCAGGGCGAGACTGTTACAGAATATATGAAGTTCACTGGAGATTGGACATTGCACACTGAAGTTATGAGTGGTATTTCATGGCGAATCCACTGAATTTGACAAGTCGTCACTGGCACGGTCATTTCACGTAACGCAGCACAAAATCGCCATGCAGCGCTTACCACCTGTTGCCAGAAGGTGGCGCTATCACTATGTCTTAATATTGTCATGTAGATGTGTTCAGGGTGGGACTGTTATCAAACACGTGAAGTTTCATTGAGATTGGATCATGTACGCTGAAGTTATGAGGACGTGTTCAGGGTGGGACTGTACACTGAAGTTGAGTACTATCTGTTTATGGTGAATGGTCGAAATTCAACGCAACGCCACGGGTACGCCTTTTGACGGAATGTCGTAAATAGCACAACTTTTAATCATGAATGTCTTTGGATTGCGCTGATTAAATTTGAAGTAGATCCGATAAATTCCCTAGGAGGAGTTCGTTGAAATACAACGCGAAAAATCACCGAAAATGCGCACGGAATTCAAAATGGCCAAGTTTGAGGGCACGCCACGGACACGCCCTTCAACGTACATGCACAAATAGCACAACTTTTAATCAGCACCATTTTTTGAGTGGACTCACAAATTTTGAAGCATATCCGATAAATTCCCTAGGAGGAGTTCGTTCAAATACAACGCGAAAAGTTCGCCGAAATCGAAACTTTAAATCACAATGGCCGACTTCCTGTGGGGTGTCGGGTATGGGTCCAAGAGGACTTTTTGTACGTCCCGACATTCTAAACGGGCCTACCGAGTTTCGTACATATCGGTGAAACGTGGCGCCGGGGCTGCTGTATTTTTATCCTGTAGGGGGCGCTACACAGAGGACAAACACGATTTTTGGTATGTGAGCTTCAGGCACTACTCTACACGTGCCCTGTGAATTTCATATTCATAACTATTATGGTCTCCGCACAGTGATTTTTCATGCCAAAAGAGCGCCACCTAGTGGCGTATTTTTTTTGTCCTTTTTATGTGAGCCTCAGGGAGCCAGGGGGAAGCATCGTACCAAGTTTCATCTTAATCACACATACCGTTGAAGAGATATAAACTTCTTCATTTTAAAGAGCGCCACCTAGTGGCAATGGCCTGAAATTGTGCATGATGCTTAAGGAAGACATGAGGAACTATGGACCCAAGTTTGGTGTCAATTGGACATACCAATGTGGAGAAATGGTCCACTTCCTTTTTTGACGAAAAATCTACAGGAAGTTGGAATTTTATAGCGTGCTTATTTTTTTAAATTTCAAAAATGTTCAAATTAGCCTTTTTGCCAAGGCGGTCCCCAGGTGCTAGGTGGAAAATTTCGTGCGAATCGGACAAAGCGTGTAGGAGGAACACGAAAAAGTAGTTTAACGACATTTCGCACTCTAACGAAAAAAAATTATAGGCGGAAGTGGGCGGGGCCTATATAGGAAGATTCAGCTCCATTCACCGAACGCGTGGATATAAGTTTTTTGAATGTGCGAGCAAATATGCAAAAGTTATTAAGTAAGAAAAAAGTGAAAATTCGTTTCTCAATAGTAGCGCCACCTAGTGGCAGACCAGAAAGTGACACATGTAAACTCCGCATTTTCACCAGGCCTGACAACTTTGCCAAATAAAATTGACTTTTCGTATATGTTCAGGGGGGTAAAAATGCAGTCAAAGGGTCCTAAAAATAATAATAATAATAATAAGAAACGAACCAAAAACAATAGGGACCTCCAGCGGTCGCTTGCGAGGTCCCTAATTAAAGCTGCAAGCAGCGTTGGGCGGGACCTCGCACTCCATGCAACTCGGGGCGTGCTGCCACAACACGAAAATTTCACGTAAATCTGCTCAAAATCGCCACGCAGCGCTTACCACCTGTTGCCGGAAGGTGGCGCTATCACTATGTCTTAATATTGTCATGTAGACAAGTTCAGGGCGGGACTGTTGTAACACACGTGAAGTGTCATTGAGATTGGACCACGTACGCTGAAGTTATGAGGACGTGTTCAGGGCGGCACTGTTACAGAATATATGAAGTTCACTGGAGATTGGACATTGCACACTGAAGTTATGAGTGGCATTTCATGGCGAATCCGCTGAATTTGACAAGTCGTCACTGGCACGGTCATTTCACGTAACGCAGCACAAAATCGCCATGCAGCGCTTACCACCTGTTGCCAGAAGGTGGCGCTATCACTATGTCTTAATATTGTCATGTAGACAAGTTCAGGGCGGGACTGTTGTAACACACCTTAAATTTCATTGAGATTGGATCATGTACACTGAAGTTGAGTACTATCTGTTTATGGTGAATGGTCGAAATTCAACGCAACGCCACGGGTACGCCGTTTGACGGAATGTCGTAAATAGCACAACTTTTAATCATGAATGTCTTTAGATTGTGCTGATTAAATTTGAAGTAGATCCGATAAATTCCCTAGGAGGAGTTCGTTCAAATACAACGCGAAAAATCACAGAAAATGACCCAAAAAATCTAAATGGCTGACTTTGATGCCACGCCACGGACACGCCCTTCAACGTACATGCACAAATAGCACAACTTTTAATCAGCACCATTTTTGGACTGTACTCACAAATTTTGAAGCAGATCTGATAAATTCCCTAGGAGGAGTTTGTTCAAATAAAACGCGAAAAGTTCGCCGAAAGTGAAAATGAAAATCAAAATGGCCGACTTCCTGTGGGGTGTGGGGTATGGGTCCAAGAGGCTTTTTTGTACGTCCCGGCATTCTAAACGGGCCTACCGAGTTTCGTACATATCGGTGAAACGTGGCGCCGGGGCTTCTGTTTTTTTAACCTGTAGGCGGCGCTACACACATGACAAACACGATTTTTGGTATGTGAGCTTCAGGCACTACTCTACACGTGCCCTGTAAATTTCATATTAATAACTATTACGGTATTCGCACAGTGATTTACCATGCCAAAAGAGCGCCACCTAGTGGCGTTTTTTGTTTTTCCTTTTTAAGGGAGCCTCAGGGAGCCAGGGGGAAGCAGCATACCAAGTTTCATCTTAATCACATATACCGTTGTAGAGATATAAACTTCTTCATTTTAAAGAGCGCCACCTAGTGGCAATGGCCTGAAATTGTGCACGATGCTTAAGGAAGACATGTGGAACTATGGACCCAAGTTTGGTGTCAATCGGACATACCAATGTGGAGAAATGGTCCACTTCCTTTTTTGATGAAAAATCTACAGGAAGTTGGAATTTTATAGCGTGCTTATTTTTTTAAATTTCAAAAATGTTCAAATTAGCCTTTTTGCCAGGGCGGTCCCCAGGTAGTAGGTGAAAAATTTCGTGCGAATCGGAAAAAGCGTGTAGGAGGAACACTTAAAAGTAGTTCAAGGACATTTTGCGCTCTAGAAAAAAAAAATTCTAGGCGGAAGTGGGCGGGGCCTATATGGGGAGATTCAGCTCCATTCACCGAACACGTGGATGTAAGTTTTTTGAATGTGCGACAAACTATGCAGAAGTTATTAGCCTAAACGCATTTTTTATGATAGTAGCGCCACCTAGTGGCAGACCCGAAAGCGACGCATGTAATATCCCCATTTTCACCAGGCCTGATCACTTTGCCAAATAAAATTGACTTTTCGTATATGTTCAGGGGGGCAAAAATGCAGTCAATGGGGGCTAAAAATAATAGGTAAGAAGAAGAAGAAACATTGCAAATACAATAGGGACCTCCAGCGGTCGCTTGCGAGGTCCCTAATTAAAGCTGCAAGCAGCGTTGGGCGGGACCTCGCACTCCACGCAACTCGGGGTGCGCTGCGGACGTGTCGCGTGCCGTCGTAACACGTGCGGACCACAACACGAAAATGTCACGTACATCAACTCAAAATCGCCACGCAGCGCTTACCAGCTGTTGCTGGAAGGTGGCGCTATTGCTATATCTTAATATTGTCATGGAGACAAGTTCAGGGCGGGACTGTTGTAACACACGTGAAGTTTCATTGAGATTGGACCACGTACGCTGAAGTTATGAGGACGTGTTCAGGGCGAGACTGTTACAGAATATATGAAGTTCACTAGAGATTGGACATTGCACACTGAAGTTATGAGTGGCATTTCATGGCGAATCCGCTGAATTTGACAAGTCGTCACTGGCACGGTCATTTCACGTAACGCAGCTCAAAATCGCCACGCAGCGCTTACTTCCTGTTGCCAGTAGGTGGCGCTATCACTATGTCTGAATATTGTCATGTAGACGTGTTCAGGGTGGGACTGTTATCAAACACGTGAAGTTTCATTGAGATTGGATCATGAACGCTGAAGTTACGAGGACGTGTTCAGGGTGGGACTGTACACTGAAGTTGAGTACTATCTGTTTATGGTGAATGGTCGAAATTCAACGCAACGCCACGGGCACGCCGTTTGACGGAATGTCGTAAATAGCACAACTTTTAATCATGAATGTCTTTAGATTGCGCTGATTAAATTGGAAGTTGATCCGATAAATTCCCTAGGAGGAGTTCGTTCAAATACAAGGCGAAAAATCACAGAAAATGAGCACGGAATGCAAAATGGCTGACTTTGATGCCAAGCCACGGACACGCCGTTTGACGGAATGTCGTAAATAGCACAACTTTTAATCATGAATGTCTTTAGATTGCGCTGATTAAATTTGAAGTAGATCCGATAAATTGCCTAGGAGGAGTTCGTTCAAATACAACGCGAAAAATCACAGAAAATGGCCAAAAAACTCTAAACGGCTGACTTTGATGCCACGCCACGGACACGCCCTTCAACGTACATGCACAAATAGCACAACCTTTAATCAGCACCATTTTTGGACTGTACTCACACATTTTGAAGCAGATCTGATAAATTCCCTAGGAGGAGTTCGTTCAAATACAACGCGAAAAGTTCGCCGAAAGTGAAAATGAAAATCAAAATGGCCGACTTCCTGTGGGGTTTGGGGTATGGGTCCAAGAGGCTTTTTTGTACGTCCCAGCATGTTACACCTGCCTACCGAGTTTCGTACATATCGGTGAAACGTGGCGCCGGGGCTTCTGTTTTTTTATCCTGTAGGGGGCGCTACACAAATGACGAACACGATCTTTGGTATGTGAGCTTCAGGCACTACTCTACACGTCCCCTGTGAATTTCATATTCATAACTATTACGGTATTCGCACAGTGATCTTTCATGCCAAAAGAGCGCCACCTAGTGGCGTATTTAGTTTTTCCTTTTTAAGGGAGCCTCAGGGAGCCAGGGGGAAGCATCATACTAAGTTTCATCTTAATCACACATACCGTTGTAGAGATATAAAGTTCTTCATTTTAAAGAGCGCCACCTAGTGGCAATGGCCTGAAATTGTGCACGATGCTTAAGGAAGACATGTTGAACTATGGACCCGAGTTTTGTGTCAATCGGACATACCAATGTGGGGAAATGGTCCACTTCCTTTTTTGACGAAAAATCTACAGGAAGTTGGAATTTTATAGCGTGCTTATTTTTTTAAATTTCAAAAAGGTTCCAATTACTTTTTTTGCCAGGGCGGTCCCCAGGTTCTAGGTGAAAAAATTTGTGCGAATCGGACAAAGCGTGTAGGAGGAACCCGAAAAAGTAGTTCAGGGACATTTTGCGCTCTAGAAAAAAAAAATTCTAGGCGGAAGTGGGCGGGGCTTATATGGGGAGATTCAGCTCCATTCACCGAACACGTGGATGTAAGTTTTTTGAATGTGCGACAAACGATGCAGAAGTTATTAGCCTCAACGCATTTTTTATGATGGTAGCGCCACCTAGTGGCAGACCCAAAAGCGACACATGTAAACTCCCCATTTTCACCAGACCTGAATACTTTGCCAAATAAAATTGACTTTTCGTATATGTTCAGGGGGGCAAAATCGCAGTCAATGGGGGCTAAAAATAATAATAAGAAACGGAGCAAATACAATAGGGACCTTGCCGGTCGCTGTCGCTGGCTCGGTCCCTAATAATAGGTAAGAAGAAGAAATCGAGCAAAAACAATAGGGACCTCCAGCGGTCGCTTGCGAGGTCCCTAATAATAATAATGCCTGCAAGCTCACATTAGAAGTCTGGTGCTACTGCCAATTATAACAATAGCCTAGTAATGATAATAGGCCTATACCTACCGCTACTGATGATGATGATGATAATGATAATAATAATAATAATAATAACAATAAAGCATGTAACCTCATATAATTGTATAGCAATAGCCTAGTAATGATAATAGGCCTACTACTACTACTACTACTAATAATAATAATAATAATGCCTGCAAGCTCACATTAGAAATCTGGTGCTACTGCCAATTATAACAATAGCCTAGTAATGATAATAGGCCTATACCTACCGCTACTGATGATAATAATAATAATAATAATAATAATAATAATAATAATAATAATAATAATTAAAGCTGCAAGCAGCGTTGAGCGGGACCTCGCACTCCACGCAACTCGGGGCGTGCTGCGGCTGCGTTGCATGCCGTCGTTACACGTGCGGACCAAAACATGAAATTTCACGTAAATCAGCTCAAAATCTCCACACAGCGCTTACTTCCTGTTGCGGGTAGGTGGCGCTATCACTATGTCTTAATATTGTCATGTAGACAAGTTCAGGGCGGGACTGTTGTAACACACCTTAAGTTTCATTGAGATTGGACCACGTACGCTGAAGTTACGAGGACGTGTTCCGGGCGAGACTGTTACAGAATATATGAAGTTTACTGGAGATTGCACAATGCACACTGAAGTTATGAGTGCTATTTCATGGCGAATCCACTGAATTCGACAAGTCGTCACCGGCACGGTCCTTTCACGTGACGCAGCTCAAAATCGTAACGCAGCCCAAAATCGCCACGCAGCGCTTACTTCTTATTGCCAGTAGGTGGCGCTATCACTATGTCTGAATATTGTCATGTAGACGTGTTCAGAGTGGGACTGTTATCAAACACGTGAAGTTTCATTGAGATTGGATCATGAACGCTGAAGTTATGAGGACGTGTTCAGGGTGGGACTGTACACTGAAGTGGAGTACTATCTGTTTATGGTGAATGGTCGAAATTCAACGCAACGCCATGGGTACGCCGTTTGACGGAATGTCGTAAATAGCACAACTTTTAATCATGAATGTCTTTAGATTGCGCTGATTAAATTGGAAGTTGATCCGATAAATTCCCTAGGAGGAGTTCGTTCAAATACAAGGCAAAAAATCACAGAAAATGAGCACGGAATGCAAAATGGCTGACTTTGATGCCAAGCCACGGACACGCCGTTTGACGGAATGTCGTAATTAGCACAACTTTTAATCATGAATGTCTTTAGATTGCGCTGATTAAATTTGAAGTAGATCCGATAAATTCCCTAGGAGGAGTTCGTTCAAATACAACGCGAAAAATCACAGAAAATGACCAAAAAAATCTAAATGGCTGACTTTGATGCCACGCCACGGACTCGCCCTTCAACGTACATGCACAAATAGCACAACCTTTAATCAGCACCATTTTTGGACTGTACTCACAAATTTTGAAGCAGATCTGATAAATTCCCTAGGAGGAGTTCGTTCAAATAAAACGCGAAAAGTTCACCGAAAGTGAAACTTTAAATCAAAATGGCCGACTTCCTGTGGGGTTTGGGGTATGGGTCCAAGAGGCTTTTTTGTACGTCCCGGCATGTTACACGTGCCTACCGAGTTTCGTACATATCGGTGAAACGTGGCGCCGGGGCTTCTGTTTTTTTATCCTGTAGGGGGCGCTACACACATGACGAACACGATTTTTGGTATGTGAGCTTCAGGCACTACTCTACACGTGCCCTGTGAATTTCATATTAATAACTATTACGGTATTCGCACAGTGATTTACCATGCCAAAAGAGCGCCACCTAGTGGCGTATTTTGTTTTTCCTTTTTAAGGGAGCCTCATGGAGCCGGGGGAAGCATCATACCAAGTTTCATCTTAATCACATATACCGTTGTAGAGATATAGACTTCTTCATTTTAAAGAGCGCCACCTAGTGGCAATGGCCTGAAAATGTGCACGATGCTTAAGGAAGACATGTGGAACTATGGACCTAAGTTTGATGTCAATCGGACATACCAATGTGGAGAAATGGTCCACTTCCTTTTTTGACGAAAAATCCACAGGAAGTTGGAATTTTATAGCGTGCTTATTTTTTTAAATTTCAAAAATGTTCAAATTAGCCTTTTTGCCAGGGCGGTCCCCAGGTAGTAGGTGAAAAATTTCGTGTGAATCGGAAAAAGCGTGTAGGAGGAACACTTAAAAGTAGTTAATGGACATTTTGCGCTCTAGAAAAAAAAAATTCTAGGCGGAAGTGGGCGGGGCTTATATGGGGAGATTCAGCTCCATTCACCGAACACGTGGATGTAAGTTTTTTGAATGTGCGACAAAGTATGCAGAAGTTATTAGCCTAAACGTATTTTTTATGATAGTAGCGCCACCTAGTGGCAGACCCGAAAGCGACACATGTAATATCCCCATTTTCACCAGGCCTGATCACTTTGCCAAATAAAATTGACTTTTCGTATATGTTCAGGGGGGCAAAAATGCAGTCAATGGGGGCTAAAAATAATAATAGGTAAGAAGAAGAAATCGAGCAAAAACAATAGGGACCTCCAGCGGTCGCTTGCGAGGTCCCTAATAATAATAATGTGCCCCTAAAGATAATAGCCTAGCGCTATCTATCTATCTATCTATCTATGCAAGGTGGTGTAGTGGGGGTGGCGCCGGGAAGGGGGGGGCAACTGCAATGAACCAGCTTTGGGGGGGCCCAGCTTCCAAAAGGTTGACAACCCCTGGCATAGAGCTATCGTTTGGAAAGGCTTTTTAACCTTAAACTCTCGAAAACATTTGACATGCTGGTGCATCTTAAAAGACATGCTTACTATTCCTTTTTATCTTAAAGAACAGTGTTTTGCTCTGAGGTTCTAAACGTCTGTTTCTGTATCATGAGTAATATCCTACAAAAAGCAGAGCATCTTGACACTAAAAAGTGCAATATTTCGCCCCTCGCTCTTTTCATGCCGACACTCACATCCGTGACCCATTAAAAATGGCCCCACGACCCACCAGTTGGGAACCTCTGGTTTAACTTGAAAATGCTGATCTAACTTCTTTTCTTTTGTCCCCAAAACTTAGCCACTCCACATGGCCATATACAGTATTTAATACAGTGCAACAAGTTAAAATAAAAATTACATTATTAAAACGAGAGAAAAATAAGAAAATAGACAAATAGCCACATTAACAACTGTGCAATATACATGTGCACTCAAGCTATAAGTTTGTTTTGCAGAGACAGGATTTTCGGGGACAGCTTAAGGACATCAAGCTTATTATGCGAAGGAAACTCATCATTTTGGCAAACCCGCTATTTATCCACAGCATCTAGCGAACGATTAATTATACAGTCAGTCCCGGTTTAGACACACACACACACACACACACACACACACACGTCTCACTGCAAGTGCAAAATAAAAAGAGGTTCGCTGGTTGGTTAGCTAGCGACACATGTAGCACTGGGCACATTAAATAAAGAAATAAAGAAAACCACCGTCAACTTTACGTTTCATAAACAAAATAAATCACTCGTTTTGTATAAAATTAAGATAATTAATAAAAACGATGGTGGAGCTCATAACTTGTGCACTTACCAAAGGGACAGCAAGGTCTGACTGCTGTACCCC